CCTCCTCTTCCTTCCACATAAAAGAGGCTGCTGGATTGGAGCACAGCGCCGGAGACGCGGGCCATCGCCTTTCGCTCCGCCCTGCCGCCGCGGCGCCGTGAAGAAACCGCGCCGCATACGCGCACGGGTGAGTTTGTACACGGAGCCGTCTAAGCTACTCTTCCATAAGTATTCCTCACTGCACGCAACACTCTTTTTATCCCTATAATACTAGGAAAAAATTGAGGAAGAACAACTTGAAAAGCCTTCCAGGTTTTCACCTTCTAATTTACGATTCGTTTCGGTCTAGCATACATTAAGATTTTCTTTGGTTCTTGGGCATGAACAACAAGGAGCAGTAAAGCATTTAGTGGAAGACTCTTTCTCCTGAGTTACCCAAAAGCCGGAGACACACTTGCACAACATTTACCATTCCCGCCTTACTTTTTTTTCAAAGTGATCAGGTCATGTTTCAACATCCTTCGCACTTCAAAGCAAGCTGGAAATATTTCAAAAAATAATGGAGGGATTTACTGGCAACACACCAACACGGTATCCATTTCGATTATAAGAGAAATGTCCTACTTGATTTTAAAACGGTCCACCGTAAAGCAAGAATCTCTCTCTATATATAACGGGATTTCTAGAAAATTTCGAGACAGAAGGGTTACACACGCTCATTCGCACCTGCCCGACCTATGATTAACACGTAGTGTTCTAAAAAAAGACAGAAAGGTGTTGATTGATTGTGTGTCCTTCACCGGATCTGCGTATAAAGTCAGTATTCTCAATCGACCTGTCAACGAAACCCCAAAGTGAAGTGGTTGCGTGAAAGATTAGCAGATCGGAATAATTACCTATGACAGCTTATGGTTCTCAATAAATAATAAATATCGATATCACATCGATAGGTATCCAAGAGTTCGTAAATTGTGAAATCGAAGAGTTGCATAATCCTTAACAATTAGTAACTGCAACAACACTTGCTACAGCATGTGTAACTTTAAAAGTGAAACTCTAAATGTTTATTTCAAAAACTCAAAAGGCAAGGCGTAAGTCACGGACGTTTTTCGAATTGATTATCTCGCAATATTTCGGCGCCGAACCCTTGTTACGCCTAAAATTTCAATCTTTGTTTCAGTAACATAGTATACCATTACCAGTCTAACTTTGACTGCTTTTCCCATCAATTAGTGCCCTGAATCACGAAAAAAGCTCTGATTATCCTTAATAATGGGATGCATAGCGACACAATCAAATGGTGAACTGCGTAATGTCACGCACTTCGACCCTG